TACGAAAGCATACCCAAATGAGACTTGAGCTCGGGGACTGATCTGGGTGTCGGAGCTTCCTTGATAGCCCTCACTCTCTCATTTAGAGGGTGCAGACCATCAGCATCAATGACGTGACCAAGGTAAGTCACAGAAGGTCGCATAAAGACACACTTGCTACGCTTAACCTTTAGGCCTGCCCGCTCTAAGCGACTCAGCACCTCCTCCAGAGCCTTTAGGTGAGCCTCCTCTGTGCTCCCCGTAACCAGTATACCATCGAGGTAAACGACAACTCCCTCGATACCCTGGAGAAGACTTTCTAATACCCGCTGGAAGATTCCAGGGGCTGACGAAATCCCAAACGGTAAGCGAGTAAAACGAAACAGCCCCTTGTGAGTATTAATCACCACATACTTTCTCGATTCTTCCTCTAGCGGTTGCTGCTGATAGGCATGGCTCAAGTCTAGTTTTGAGAACAGCTTCCCCTTCGCCAGCTTGGCAAACAGATCGTTAATTCTAGGTATGGGGTACCTATCGAGCTTGGAGACGGGATTAACAGTTACACTGAAATCCCCACGCAGACGGATACTGGACTTATCACGCTTCAGGACTACTACAATTGGCGCTGCCCACTCCGCTATTTCTACCGGCTCCAGAATCCCCTCGTCCTGAAGGCGCTGCAGTTCCTGATCCACCTTATCTCTGAGGGCATAGGGCACAGTCCTAGCAGGATTAAACTTGGCTCCACATGTATCTTGGCTTGGAAACCCCTCAGAGTACCTAGGCCTGCCCCAAACACATTCGGAAAACGCTCTAACAAGGCATGGAGTGAGGGTGTATGGAGGTGATGGATCTGTGACCAGTCAAGCCTTATCCTACTCAACCAATCCCTACCCATAAGGGTGGGCCCAGAGCCCTTGATTATCTGCAGAGGCATCTTGGCTGTCTGACCTTGATAACATACGTTTACATTGCAACAACCAAAGGCTCTTTTGAGTAGGTCTGGAGGCGGACCTGCGAAGGGTCTAGTTCCCTACCAGGCCACAACTTGCCTTATATTAGATGCCTGCAGCACGATTTCCGTTTTTGTGAGAGCTAACCTTTTATTGGTAATTACAAAAAAATAATTATTGATAATTACAAAAAATTATCAGTGGCTTACTCTACACCCGGAGTATAGAGTAAGCCACCGATAATCGGACGCCATGTATTCTCGGACGCATTTGTGAAGTCTGTGCAGGACTAGATTGGCTACTGTGTATACCAAAGTGTAGTTCTTGGTCATAAACTGTTGTATAAAAATATTCGCTCTTATCCGAGCTTTACCGTGGGAATGACGTTGCCGTAAAGTTACGATTCGGGTCCAGCCAAGTTCGGACAAGGCCATCAAAGGTAGGACAGTCTCCCAAAACGGGAACAGTATGAATGATCCAAGCGAGTGTATGCTCGATTGATAGCTGTACCTTTTGGCTATGCAGCGACCAACAAATGGCCCTTCGCTCTTTTTGCTCACCAAAGCGCAAATAGGCGGGGTCGCGTAAGCCACGTTTTACGCGAAAAGCAGTTTGGGGCTTGTTTCTTCTAACGCACGTGCCGGATGAAGCGCTAAATTTTTATTCTCGTTCTTCTTGCCTTATACTAGATGCTTGCACCACGATTTCCGTTTTTGTGAGATCTAACTTTTTATTGGTAATAAAAAAAAATAATTATTGTTAGCTAATTACAAAAAATTAAAATCTTACAAAAACGGAAATCGTGGTGCAGGCATTGCTTCATCCGGCGGGTGTGTTAGAAGAAACAAGTCGAAAACTGCTTTTCGCGTAAAACGCGGCTTACGCGACCCCGCCTATTTGCGCTTTCGTGAGCAAAAAGAGCGAAGACAAAAAAGGGCCATTTGTGGGTCGCTGCATAGCCAAAAGGTACAGCTATCAATCGAGCATACACTCGCTTGGATCATTCATACTGTTCCCGTTTTGGGAGACTGTCCTACCTTTGATGGCCTTGTCCGAACTTTGCTGGGCCCGAATCGTAACTTTACGGCAACGTCATTCCCACGGTAAAGCTCGGATAAGAGCGAATATTTTTATACAACAGTTTATGACCAAGAACTACACTTTGGTATACACAGTAGCCAATCTAGTCCTGCACAGACTTCACAAATGCGTCCGAGAATACATGGCGTCCGATTATCGGTGGCTTACTCTACGCCCCGCATTGTCATATTTTTTGGATGTATGATACTAGTGGAAATATTGAACATTCTTGGCGAGCGGGCGCGACCCAACTTGGGATTTGCCCGGGCTGTATAACGTGCCGTCAGCGCACAGCTTTCCTTTCGTGAAGCAAGACAGAACTACCTGTCGCCGTTATGTGCGTATTTTACATTGGCAGAACGGTGAGCAGGTGAGCAGACGGTACTTACCTTATGCTTTCAAGTCGTCAGTCGTGGTCCACCAGGCAGCTGGCATGCAGCAGTACGCCTGCACGAGCAATCCTAGGCGTATTTGCAAGTTGCACCTTGCAACCATGAAGATTGGGAAGAGGTACAGCCTTGGTCAGTCACCGAAGGTGCGCATGCCGTCGAATGGAGGAGAGTTCTCTAGCTGGCTAGGTCGTCGATCGGCGAGGCACCGGGGTGTGAAAATGCGTAAAAATTTTGAAATAGTTAAGCGCGTACAAAGCCGCGCATGCGCACTTACACGACGTACGGAAGACGACCGCCGGAACGAACGACTAGGTTGGCTCGCTCCCGCTCGCCAATTAAACCGGGACCCACTGTACTGTAAAACAAGTATCCTTTGTAGAGCAATGTTCTGCACTGCACAGAAAACCACTACTCCTTAGCAAACTTTGGTTGAACAGTTCTGCTACGCAAGTTTAAAGTGGTACCTACTGGACACTAAGGTGCCATTTGGAATTTTTTCGACATAATAATTATGCACATGCATGCATTACCCTTGCTGTGCATACGTGCGCAGGGTAGAGGTGGGACTTATCCCCATTACACTTTGTCCTGTTAACGAAGTTGTTCTGTCAACCAGTGACCTACAAGAGCAGTTCATCAGTCAGGGGGAAGTCATTACAAAACAACATAGAAACCCTGCACTTAGTTTGTAGGAGCCAACCAGTGTATGATAAACCATGAACATGCCTAACTCCATAATAATCAGGGGGTGCCAACAAGTGTGTCGTAGTATAGAAAAAATGAGAGGAAAATAGTAAAATTAAAAGAAATCACAATTATTATAACACCCAGGACAAAGAAAGGGGCAGTAATGGGTGGGAGTTGAAACACAAATATCTCTCATTTGCTCTACCATAGAGCTGTCAGGGTGGCATATTTGAAGTCTGCAATGCAATGCATAACTACACAAGGTTAGAGGCAAACCCAAAGCTCTGTGCTGTAAATTATTATGGCATTAGTTATCTAAGAAGACATGCACCAACTGCTCCCCAAACGAAAAGTACTAAAGTGCGGCGAATTGCGCGCGCATGTGCGATACTGCTATTTGATGGGCTGGGCTATATGCGTTTACTCGTGGTCTCCTGCTAGTAGTACGCGGAGAGTCTGACACTGGCTAGCTACAGTAGGTAGCATGCGGGAGTCGATACATGCGATTCGTTGTGACTTAATCAAGTAGCGGTAGCTAACATATTATTATCTCGAACGTAGTGGTTTCAGGAAAATTATTTTCAGGCTCGCGCAGTTCTGAAGCCTCTAATAGGCCGCCTCGTAGCCTGTATAAGCGTCGACACACAGACAGACAAACCAACTACTGTAACCTAAGGTAAGAAAGGTTTGTCCTGGTAGCTAACGCCCACGGATAATGATAGCAAGATCCAGAGAGTAAGCTGATTGATTGAGAATGAAAGCTTTGTTGAGAACGTTCACGACACCTCTGCGAGGTTTGTAGCCTCGTGCAAGATCTCAACGACCTTATCCTGCGAGGTCTCTTCTCGCAGAACGACGATGTAGCAGCCTGTCTTGTTGCCTGAGTCTGCAGCACGCAGGAGCGGACAACGCCTTGCAGAGACTCTGACAGCGAAGCCGAGTAACACTGTAACTAGCCAGACCTTCATCTCAGCGAAGCAAGTAGGCTCCGCCGCTGATTTGCATGAGCTACGCCTTCTTTCGTGCGCGTCGCGGACGGGCCGGGTGTCTGATATTGCACCGCAGTTGCTACCGGTTGCCCCTCAGGCTGCGCAGCGTGTTGGCATCTCGGTTGGTATGCGCAATTTAGAGGGTCAGCGCTCCGGCATGGAACCCTTCTTCTCTAGCATCGTTGCAATAATCCTAGCTCTCCTACTAGCCACCGGTGGGGAGTCATGGACCGGCACGCGAGGCGGGTGTTCTTCTCCCTCGTCAATGGCAATAAGCCGTATCATCACTAGTACATACAACGATTCCGGCCTACGAATAGTGATTAGAGAAAACGAAATTGTTTGCAATTCGTATGCTTATGAAAAAATGACGGTACTCTGTCTGTATGACCGGTGCAACGAAACGTCGTGCCTACCGGAGCCCGTGAGTGTGGTACTGGATATACTGTGCCTAGACGGCGTGTGGGAACTAACGCACTACGAGAGAGTGTCAAATTCTACAATGTCAAATTCTACAATCTCTACTGAAAGTCCTAACTGCACCGATTGTTTGGATGTGGAATTGTTTCAAAGCAGAAAGTACCCTACCAATCCCCCTGGCTTGCTGGCGTACAACCAGACGACTCACTGCCTGTGTAAGCGTAACACTCACCATGCTGCGTTTATCTTCCCCTTTTCCATTGTGTGTGGCCTGGTAACTCATACCCTATACTATGTGGGTCTATAGTATAGGGTATGAGTTAATCTAGGTAATCTAGGTATGGGCACCAAGATAAGTGCATTGTTCTAACAGATGTTGAAAATTGCTGGGCAGACTCTGGTGTAAGTGTGTGACCAGAAGAGTTGGGACTGCTTATTTCCAGGAGTACACACCCAATTCCCCAAAAATCAGTCATTATCTCACACCAGAGAGGCTGAAATAATATATGATAAGTGCATGAGTCAGAAGACAGGGAAAGGTTGGCTAATTGATGGGCTGGGCTATGTGTTATTGATACCTGTGGAACGGGATTGGAAACACATTTCTTTCAAGTGCTCATCTGTGGTATAATAATCTATGAGTAGTTCGACAACCAAGCCCATCAATTAGCGATAAAGAGGTTTATTAATCTCTGCAATGTGCATTAGTACAACAAACATATAATTATACATGTGTGTTAGTGCACTGTGTGTTCTGCACTCACTTAAAGCAGCTTGCTAATAGAAGATGGATGGTAGCTAGCTGGCTTTCATCCTTTCACAAGAATATTCACATGTGAGCTTTGAACCAGTAGCAAATTAAGAGGGATAAGCCCTATAAAATATTTTCATCATCACGTGATAGGTAATGTAAATGACGTCATACTCATCAGCTATACAGATAATGTGCATTTAGAGTTCTATACGTGATTTATGGGAACGAGGGGTGTGGTCGAGAGACTCGCCGAGTGCTGTGTGGGTCTCGAGACCACAACCCGAGTTCCTGTAAGTCATGTATAGAATGATAGTCTATCTAAGAACATCCGAGTGGAATGAGGGTTGGAGGTTATGTGTGGGCTGTGTATGTTTTGATAGTCATGTGTGCATGCATAGCTAGTAGCTTGGTTGTAGTATCTATTACAGGGATGGTGTTTCAAGTTCCCATTAAGAGTTGGAGGCCAGATGGAGAAGCTGGTGCAGATCTAGGCACTACTGTCCTGTGGCTCTTTGCCGGTATGGGCTCAATGACTAATAATCTGTTCTCCTCTGTGGGAGTTCTCTAATCTCACTCTAGGTCTGGTTTGTAAGCTAGTGCATACAATCAGAGAGTCAGTAGACTCTCTAGGGACCACACAGGTGAAATATCACGTTATCCGCGTACAAAACGACTAAAAACTCGGTGAGAATCACTTCCTAGGCCTTCAAAACGTACTAGCAATAGTCTACGGGCCCATTTCTACCTATCCCCAAGACCTCATACGCACCTTCAGTCGTCCACACAAGAATTTGCTCATACGCGATTTTACGATTTTCGTGTCATCATCATATTCTTCATCTTCTTCTTCTTCTTCTTCTTCAGACCCGCTAGCTCCTTACCGGAAGCACTTGAAGCGTTGATTTTTTCATAGAACGTCTCCGAATTTGAAGGTGTGCACGCATATCAAGCGATCGTTTGTTTCTTGCCGCGAGTCACTACGGTAGATTGTTGCGCTCTTCCTCGGGAGTCACTGAACAACACCATTTAATTTTGCTGCTAACTCAGCATCAGTGAGCCGCATGTGCCGAGGAGGGCGTTTCCAATGCGGTGCGCGCAAATTTTGTCTTGTCCACGAACGACCAGGACTGGATGCCTTCTGAGGAAACCAGTGCCTTCTGTAAGTCAGTGTACACATTTGTAAGTGGCTAGCTTGCGTTTTGCTGTTGATTTGCACGAGGAGCAACTTGGCAATCTGTGCCGTGTTACGCGTGCCTTGCCCAGCGCCTTCATTCTTTATTCCCCAGGTTATAGCTATCATTGTAGTCTGATTTCTGAAGCCTGCCCAATGAAACTACCACCATATGTGCGACAACCTAATTGCGTCCTTGGCGGAGACACTACGCATATATACACACTGCTTCAGGTAAGAGCAGTCCATTTGCTTCTGCTTTCAACAGTTATCTCTACAACTTACCCATGAACATCAGAGTGACTGAAAATGCAGTGTTGTCATAAGCTTTAAAAAATAGTGGAAACAAGTGGTCTCTACATCTTTCTTGCTGACATAGCCATTGTTCTACTGATGGCATACGCCAGCTCGCTTATCAGGTTTTCGGCTAGCTACCACTCCCCAGAAACAAATTATGTTATTGGTGAGCGAAGTGAGCCTACCTAGGCATCTGAATCCAGAATTTTCCCGTATGGACCAACATAAACATACTGTAATGTTTACTTCAATTTGAATACACGCTAACCACGTGCAAAATATTGAAATGCTCGCACCGCATGTAAAATGCTGTTTTTGTTTTACGTGCGTCTAAATACACACAAACCATGGACGAAATTTTTAACTGCTCGCCCTCGCTCGCCAAAGAATCGGTACATTTCTTTAGTATCCACTTTTTGTTTAGCCCTCTGCTTTCTCTTGGACTGTGGCACTCCACCTGTAAGGCAGTTCAGAAGTACCACTCCTGACTATTTTAAAAGTTATGTGCATATTCATTCTCCTTTTATGCTCTGAGTGGATAGGTTATTTTTAGGGCAGTTAACCTGAGGCAAGATGAAGACTTATGGCTGTAATAGGAAGTTCTCCTCTTTCAGATTCAATGGGGTCGCATTATTTTGTGAGAATAATATATCTGTTGCCACGGGTCTGGTCGTACCTAAACAACAACACAATTATTATGTAATGTATTAATATAAATTAACATTTTGTGCAAACGACGTTTTCTATCAAAGCCTCTGTTTTAACTGGCGAAGTATATCTGCCATGTCGCACTATAATTTCCAGATCTGGAAATATGGGTTCCTGGGTGAGTTTTAAAACCGTCTGATCTATCATTAACTTAACGCCAAAAAACTGTGCTTGGAATCAACGAAAGTGGCCACAACGGCTAGATATCCTGCTACAAACGTTAGGGCATTTGGTGCTGCGCATGTGATACTGCGTGGGGTATAGCTCTACTTAACCCTCGGCGGCGTGCATACGCAGCGAGGGTTACTGTAGTTGTCGTGTCTGTCTGTCTGTCCGCCAGCTATCTCGAGCAATCGATCGCTCCACAAACGATGCCACGTATTCAGCGTCGGTCAATGGTCGAAATCAATGTGGGAAAACAGCTGCATTCTGGAGTTATGGCGTGAAAACCAAGTGAACGAGCCAATATGCCAATTAGCACAGGCTTACCTCGAGATGCACGCTCTCTAGCACCGAGATGCGTTTGTTCTGCATAACTTGGAGACACCAGAGGTTGCAATGCGGGGCCGAGTATCTCTCGCATGTTATCTAGTAGTGTAGCTAGCCCGTTACCGACTCTCAGCGACCTGGTAGGAGACCGCGAGTAGGTAAAATGGCTCAGCCCATCAATTAGCAGTACAACACATCCGCGTACTTCCGCGCGCGCGTGCCTGGCACAATCTGTTCGCGCATGCGCAAGATATTCTAATCCCCCTACCAAGCCTATTGTTGAGATAAAACATGGCATATGCACAGCGAAAGATGAAAAAATTATTTATACTATAGACATAATTCGCAGCAAGACTCAAACTGGCAGCGTCTGTATATTGCACTCATTATTATAGAGTGCTGGGGCAATGCAGTGGGGTGCACAACAGCCTATTCATTTCTCTACTGATGCCTGTGCAAGCCAATGTGCTTATAGTTTCACCACTAGCACGGATTGTGAAAGGAAACAAAATGGCTAACCTGGCCGCTATAAAAACACCCTTTAACTTGTTTACTCCACAAATTAGTGTCCCCTGCTGCATTGTGTTTTATAGCGTGAGGTGACAATACTATTTATGTTATTGTCACATTAGTGCTCCCCTCCTGCTATAATGAGGCTGGTTCACTTATTGGATACTTCAGTGCCAGAGAATGCTGCGTGGAGATGGAAGAGAGCCGTTCATACAGATACGGAGATAGATCTTTCCCCTGCATAGGTGTGTTAATGCCTGCATTGGCAGCATTTGTATCTGTTTACTTTATACATTATATAGTCCATGGATTTGTGAAGACAAAATACAGTGTTGTAGAGGGGGAGACATTGGACATTGTGTTTGAAAGAAATGCCAAGGGCACAACTAAATTTCCACTGCTCACAATCGAAGGCAGGATCATATCAGAGGGGGACGAGGATGGTTAGTTCCAACATACAATGACTAACTTGATAAGTAACCAGATTCCCCCACTTTTAGATTACCAGCCAGTCTTAGTCACTTTGCTTCGGAGAGACTCAAGGATAACTCTCAGTTTGACTGCATACAACGACATGATTGCATTGGAAGATGGCGACAAAGTCATTCTAAGACAGACCTCCGGTATCAATAATTATGTTAATCTGGTGGAGCAAAGAGGGGAGTTTATCAGCCACACTATGGAAGTAGCCATTGTGGATAAAAACAACAGTAAGTCGTAGTGATCAATACAAACTCAATCAAACTGTGCAAGCAGAAGGGCAGCATACAAGCCAATAAGCACTAAAGTGCAAACCCTGGGCGCAAAATGCGTGTGTGTAGCGTTGTAGCATTGATGTAAGTGGGCTGGGCCATGTGTCGTATATAGATGGAGCCAGTTTCTCGCCGTAACACAGGCTAGTTGCATGAGTGGATAGCATATAAACATTTTATTCAATCTATCCACTCTTCTGTGTTTTATTGCTTGCGACATATTTCCAGGCTGCGCTTAACGTTTAGGTGGGAAGGCATGGCCGCATCCACAAATTGCTCGTCTCACGTGAACTGCTGTGCTACATTGCGGACATACCTTGCTCAACTTGTTATCCATTGGGAACAAAGATCAAAACTGACAGAGGGGAGACACTGAAGAAACACTACTTGGCAGCATTATGATGCAGCCAAGAACGTTACCTAGCGACAGTAATAGCATGGTTAGTTGGGATAGCTTTCTGCTTGTAATACATGGGTACTGGATTAAGATTTGACTACGTTCAATTACCCTTTTAAAAATGAAAAGCACAGAAGTGCAAACCCTCGGCACATTGTGATGCGCACGCGTAAGTAAACTCATGCGCGGTACCACTAATTGATGGACTGGGTTTAGTTATAGCTGTTACTCATGGTCTCTTGCCAGCTCGCGCAGAGTCTGACGCGGTCTAACTACACTACTATATAGCATGCGAGAGGCGATACACGCCCTGCATTGCATCTTCTGGTGCCTCCAAGGTACGGAGAGCACGTGGATGGATCAGAGCGTGGTAAGCCATCCCATCCGTTGTGTATTTGCATATCGGCTTTTTCAGAGAAAACCGTTCGAAATTTCTGACCTTCATTGCCCGTTAAGTAGGTCATTTTTGAGACAAACAAACACTCGAGAAGTGAGATGTAGAGTAACAGACAGACAGACACACACACACAGCCCTAACTACTTTACCTTCGCTGTGCATGCACGCCGAGGGTAATAAGCTGAACAAGAAACTACAGCATACTTGCCAAACATTGTGTGTTGAATTATATGCTTTTTAAAGTTCTAGTAGTTTACTATAGAGCATGTTTACGCTCTTTTCTATATTCACCCAGGGAGCTTTAGATGGCGGGGGGATTGTGTAGTGTAGACAGATGGGATAGCTTTCTGATTGTAATGCAAGGGTACAGATTCAGACTTGACTACATCAATTTTTCTTACCAACCATTTTAAACCAATACAGTGGGTCCTGGTTATTGTCATACTCTCTCAGTGCAAGCGCCCAGTATGCTATTAAGCGGGATATTCTACAATGTGGTACTGACTAACTGCATTGCTGAAACCACAAATTTTGATAGGGAAAGGTCATGTTTCTTAGTACACACACAATATATCTGTAACAGAGTTACACACACCAAGTGGAGAACAAAAACAAGTAAGGGTCAGTATTCTGGAGAACAAAGAGAAACGAAGTCACGGATGGGGAAGTTTTCGAGGAAGCAACCTGCAGCACTTGACTTTCAAGCTTGTATAGTAGCTCAAATCAGCTCCTGAATTTTCCATGAACATTTTGATTGTGTGCATAGCTTATATTGCATCACAAGCATTAGGAGCTACAGAGGTAGAAGTAGTTTTGTCCTCTTCTTCACTCTCACACTTCTGTTCAGGGTCTGTAGTTCCCCTGATGGAGTTGCAGATTTCATCATCTGTAAGCTTACCATGACAGCTCAAAGACATGTCCATATCCATATAAGTATGAAAGTCAGGCACAGTCATTCCAGGAGGGGGATCACCTACGTCCTCCTCCATTGATGGAGTCTCAGGCAGAAACCCAGCTTTAGCAAAACAATTCACTATTGAAACCTGCTTCACATTCTGCCACGCAGCTTTGAGCATGTGCATTGCAAATTAATTTCTTCGGCTAGCTGACTTACTGTGACTGAACTCCCAGAATCGATCCGAGAAATTAGTCGAGTAACCACATCTTTTCGATACAGAGCTTTTAGATTCCGAATAATACCCATATCACAAGGTTGGATAACATCCGATTCCATGGCGAATCTTCCATCGACAAAGCCACCCGTTCGTGCACCGAAACTCAGGCTTGTTTAACAACACAACAGAATGATTGACTTTCTCCTCTAGCACAGCCGATGTTATACGTAGGAGCGTCTTGAGCCCGCGTGGCCACAAACCAAGTGTAAAGCACTGCATTGACTTCATCGTCCTTCCAACTGATCGTAAAATAGCTTCCTTATTTTTAGCTATTTTAGAAATGGTGGATTTTGAGCATTGAAATCGCTTACCCAAGTCGACTTGGGATTGTTTTTCGTCCAGTGTATAGTTGCATGATATCAATACGCTGGCTTTGGGACAAATCTGTCCTCTTGTGAGCCATGGTGGAGTAGAAAACAGACACTTATTAGCCAGCCGGCCGCCTTTTCCAGTCACGTTGTCTCTCTACTTCTGTGCATGCGCAACTATGACATTATCCGTGCCAGGCATCATTCAATAGGCGGGATATGGCATTACAATACACAGAGAGAAATATGTTCGTTTAGTGAAGTGCGAGGACGATGGTGAAAGGATTCTGTATGTAGATGGCCAAGAACGCAGCATTGTGAAACTGGTTAGTTGAGAAAACGAGTAGATGGTATTACCTGTCTAATGATGTGCTTATGAAATAAATCATAGATGTGCATCATACAAGGGAGCACACTCGTACTTCACGACAATATAGGGCTTGTGTGGAGGATAGTTTACATGAGCAAGTGATGTCAGTTCAAGTATGTAGCCATCATCCATTGTACTACTGCATCACGTTCACTGGGTCATCCCTGTCTTGTCTCCTTGCTTTTTACGGCATCCCTATATTATTCCAAACTTTTTTAATTCGAAGAAGTTTTTATTTACTTGTCTAATGTTGCTGTATAAAAGCTATAGATCACTGACGGGTTGTGGGCTGTGTAGTGTAGGCAGGTGGTAGGAAGAAAATGCCCTAAGTGTATTAATTTTGTTGATATTATTTTTAATTTTCAAATAATTATAAAGATTAAGTGTAGGCCATGGTTAGTGAAAGAAGAATAGGCTGTGTGCTTGCTCTCTCAAATTAATGTGTGCATTTCTCTAGCCTTCTGAATTCTCTGCAGGAGTGGAAATAGATCTCGCTCAATCAGTTTACACTGTGTCCGAAGATGAGACAGGCAACCAAGTACTCACTCTAGCAATCAAGAACGGTTTAATAGTACAGGGCCCTATCCCTCTGAGGCTTACAGCTATGAGTCTGACTTCACCCGTTGTTAACGACGCTGAGAGGGCTACACCAAGACAAGATTTCCACGTAGAGACTGTGGATATTGAAATCACTCCTGGAGCAGCTGGAATGACCAATATTAGTCTGAACGACATCATTATTGATGATAACACTGTGGAAAACCACATCCAGAGGTTCAGCCTGATGGTGGAGGTATCTGAAGGCAGAGTGTTCTTCGATTCAGACAACTCCACTAAGAAATCAGTTGAAGTGGCTATTGAGAGTGATGACAGTAAGATGTCTTACTTAGGTGTCGCTCACGCTTTGGTGTTTTGCTCTCTTCTTTTACAGCGGTCAGTGTTTCTCTATTGTCATCTAATGTGGTATTCTATGAAAGTGATGAAAGTCCATTCAATATTTGTGTGATCGTGATAAGTGAAGGAACAGACCAAAATTGTCCTGTGGAGTTTCAAGTAAACTATACTCTTAGCTTCACCAAGTACTCATGTAAGTTAGACCCACTTAGCTACAATTGCAAAAAAATACATTTGTTGTCTTTTTTCATGATGCATAACGAAGACACCAAAAATGGAGATGGTGAGACAATATTTCGTGATGTTACTGTTGATAAGTGTAACAACATGTCATGTGTCGATCTCAAGGCTGTCTTCAGCATTCCGAATGATGAAGAATTCAATTTTCAATTGTTTAATGTGTCTCTTGCTGAAACTGAATTACCTCAGTCTGGGATGTTTCGAGTCTCTACAAATGTTGTGAAGTTTGAAATAAGAGACGACGACTGTAAGTTGTACAAGTGGAAAAATCATTTCTTCAAAATGAAGGGGGATATAGAGATGGCTTGAAGCACCAAAAAGGAAGAAACAAGGGGTCATTACACAGCAAAGATGCACAAAGCTACATGACACCATCCCTATATCTTTGTCTCATATTAAACTTTACAACAATTTTCAGTCACTCTGGTGTTGTAGAGATAACTGTTGAAAGCAGAAGCCCTAATGGGCTGCTCCTACCTGAAGGAGGGTGTATGCGTAGTGTCTCCAACAACGATGCAATTAGGTTGTGGCACATGGTGGTTTCATAGGCAGGCTTCAGTAATCAGACTACAATGATAGCCATAACCTGGGGGACAAACAACGAAGGCGCTGGGCAAGGCCCGTGTAACACGGCGCACACTGCCAAGTTGCTCCTCGTACAAATCAACAGCAAAACGCAAGCTAGCCAGTTAAAAATGTGTATACTGATTTCCAGAAGGCACTGGAGGATAAGAGTTCCTCTGCAGGCATCCTGGCTTAGTCTCGTAGTCACGCACGAGACTATAGTAATGCGCGCGCACCGCATTGGGGAAACGCCCTCCTCGGTGCATGCGGCTCACTGATGCTGAGTTAGCAGCAAAGGGCGTTGTTCAGTGACTACCGAGGAAGAGCTCAACGATCTACCGTAGTGACTTGTGGCAAGAAACAAGCGATCACTTGATATGCGTGCACATCTCCGGAAAGTTTGGAGACGTTCTGTAAAAAAATCAACGCTTCAACTGCTTCCGGTAAGGAGCTAGCGGAGAAGAAGAAGAAGACGAAGAAGATGATGATGACACGAAAATCGCGTAAGAGCGAATTCTCTCGTGGGGAACTGAGGGCACGTAGAAAGTCTTGGGGCATATGTATAGCTAAGTATTGGCCTCTAGACTATTGCTAGTGATTTTGAAGCCATGGTGAGTCATTCTCGCTGAGTTTTGAGGCGTTTTGTACGCGGATCGCGTTAGCTCTGTCATCCCTATATAGAGCGTCTACCGACGCTCTGATATAGCTGTTCTTGCCAGCTCGCGCAGTCTGACACGGGCTAACTACACTACTAGATAGCACGTGAGAAGTAATACACGCCCTGTGTTGCATCTTCTGGTGCCTCCGAGGCACGTATAGCACGCAGATCTATCAGACTGCCCGTCTGTTGTGTATTTGCATATTGGCTTTTCCGCGCTCTAGCTTTGCAACGGAGCAGTTTCGAAATTTCTTCTTTGCCCGTTAAGTAGGTCATATCCTTTGTAAGACGAACAAACACTCAAGAAGTGAGATGTAGAGACAGACAGACAGACAAACACACACATACCGTATTGCCCTCGCTGCGCATGCGCGCCGGGGGTAAACAAAGATGTAGGGATGCCTTGGTGTCATGTAGCTTTGTGCATTTTTGCTGTGTAATGACCCCTTGTTTCTTCCTTTTTGGTGCAAGCCATCCCTATATCCCCTTCATTTTGAAAAAATGATTTTTTCCACTTGTTTCCACTATTTTTAACAGTTTATGACAACACTGCATTTAATGTTACAGTCACTCTGATGTTCATGGGCATGTTGTAGATAGGCTACCATAGACAAACTCTAACTGTTGAAAGCAGTAACTAATGGGCTGCTAGTGCCTGAAGCAGGGGCTATTATTATACCGCATTCACATCATGTATTGTCTTCAACAAGGATGTAATTAGGTTATTACACATGGATGGGTGGGGGGACAAATAACGAAGGCCCATTTGAGCGCCTTGCAAAGCCTGCGTAACACCGCGCAAACTCTGCCAAGTTGCTCCTCATTCAAATCAACAGCAAGCTAGCCAGTTGAAAATGTGCACACTTACTTACAGAAGGCACTGGAGGCTGAGGGTTCCTCTGCAGGTCTGTCCACTTGCCTTGTTATACACATGCAAATAGCGCAATTGGACATCGCCCCTGCCATGCGCACGGCTCACTGATGCTGAGTTAGCAGCAAATGGTGTTGTTCAGTGTCGACCATGGAAGAACTCAATGATCTACCGTAGTGACTTGCAGAAAGAAGCGATCCGTTGATGTCCGTGCACACCTCCGGCGAAATTAGAGATGTTCAGTAAAAAAAGCAGCGCTTCAACTCTACTGGTAAGGGGATAGCGGGTTTAAAGAAGAAGATGAAGAATTATGATGATGATGATGATGATGACACGAAAATCGTGAAATCACGTATGAGCGAATTCTCGTGTAGACGACTGAAGGTGCGTATGAGGTCTTTGGGAACATGTATAGGTAGATATGGGACATAGACTATTGCTAGTGCGTTTTGAAGGCCCAGGGAGTCATTCTCACCGAGTTTTAGTCGTTTTGTACGCGGATTACGTGAGATTCACCGTGCCATCCCTATATACTAGAGCGTCTACCTATGCTCTAATGATAAATTTCATCACTTATCTCTCTTTTTGATAGCTGCAGGGAATTTTGTCC